CCAAGTGTTTCAAAGGCAGAGGAGTATAGAGGTAGCTCCTGGCGGCCAAGCCAGCCAGACCTGTTTGTCCTGGTGGCTTTTGTCATGGAAAAATCCTTGGATATATGGAATTTGGGAGTAGGAATCTCAATTCTGACCATGGACACCTTGAGAAGAAGGATGGTTCTTTTCCATTGGAAGAAAAGCACAGAGCCCCAGTGTTTGGAAAGCAGGTGAGAGCCAGCCCCCGAGAGGCCAAGGGCAGGCAGACCTGTCTGTTGTGTCAGCTTTCACTTGGGAGCAATTCTTGAATGTATGGAGTTTTGGAGGTGGAATCCCAAGTTTGGCCATGTGCACCTGGTCAGGATGGATGATTTTTTTTCCTTTTGGAAAGAAAAGCATGAAGTCCCAGTGTTCTGGAAGAAGATGAGACGTTGCCATCCTTAGGCCAACACAGCCTGACCTGTCTCTCCTGGCACTGTTTTCTAGGGGTTATCCTTGGACATCGGTTATTTTGGAGGTGGAATCTCAGTTTTGGCCATGGGCACCTAGACATCCAGAAGAGTTCTTTTCATTAGGAAGGAAAGCACAGATCCCCAGTGTTTCAGAGGCACATGAGTGCCGGCCCTCAGGAAGTCAAGGCCAGTCAGACTTGTCTGTCCTGGCAGCTTTTGTCTGGGAGCTATCCTTGGATATAGGGAATTCTGGAGGCAGATTCCCAATTTTGGCCATCTGTGCCTAGTTGAGATGGATGGTTTTATCTCGTAAGAAAGAAAAGCACATGGTCCCAGTGTTTCAAAGGCAGATGAGAGGTGTCCCCCCCGGGGTCCAAGGCAGCCAGATCTGTCACTCCTGGCAGATTTCATCTGGGAATAATCTTTGCATATAAGGAAACTGGGAGGACGAATCCCAGTTTTGACAATGGGCCCCTGGAGAAGGACAGTTCTCTGCCACAGGAAGGAAATCCCAGAGCCCCAGTGCTTCAGGGGCAGATGAGAAGCAGCCCTCGACATGCCACGGTCAGCTGGACCTGTCAGGTGGTCCCCAGGAGGCCCAGCCAGCTAGACCTGTTCCATGTTCCCTCGGTTCCATGGGGCCCCACAGTGCCCCAATGGTCCCTTGCTTCCAGGAGGCCCTGAGGTGTCACAATGCCCCCTTGGTGACACTGAAGGGCTCTGAAGGGCCCTGATGGTCTCCATGGTTCCATCAGGCCCCACAGAGTCACAATGGTCTCTGGGTTCCATGAAGCCCCGCTGGGTCACCATGGCCCCTTGCCTCCATGGGCTCCAGTGGTGCCACAAGGATCCCCTTGATTGCATGAGGTGCCCACAGTGTGCCAGGGATCTCCATGGGAAGGAAAGAAGCCAGCCCCAGTGTTGCAGGGGCAGTCACCAGAGGCCAAGGCCAGCCAGACTTGACAGGACTGGCAGATTTTGCCTGGGAGCAACCCTTGGTTATACAGAATTTTAGAGGTGGAATCCCACTTTCAGACATGGACACCTGGATGAGAAGGATGGTTCTTTTGCATAGGAAGGAAAGCATGGAACGCTGGTGTTTGAGGGGCAGATGAAAGGCAGCCATCAGAGGCCTAGGCCAGCCTGACCTCTCTGTCCTGCTAGCTTTTGTCTGACAGCAACCCTTGGATATAGGGAATTTTGGAGGTGGAAGCCCAATCTTGGTCATTTCTGTGTAGATAAGAAGGATGGTTCTTTTCCACTGGAAGGACAGCACAGAGCCCAAGGGTTTCAAAGGCAGAAGAGGAGAGAGGTGGCTCCTGGAGGCCAAGCAAGCCAGACCTGATTGTTCTGGCCTTTCGTACATTTCCCTGCCAGCCTTCATAACTTCACCCATGGCTGTTGTTGCTCCTGGATTGGGAATTAAATCAGGGCAGGGTCTTTGGTGGGCGCTGCCCTGGGCCAAGGGAGACACTGAGAGAGAAACAGAGCAGGCAGAGAAAGGCAGGAGAGAAAGGAGGGAACAAACACAATCAGCTGAGAAAGTGGCACTTTGAAAACAGAACTGGAACTGACTGAAAAGGAATGGGAGAGGAGAGAATAATTTTGCAACTTTTATTTCCTATCAAAACACAATTTCTTCCCTTTCTCACAAACCTCCTCCCGGTGCCATACAGCAGGGCTGTCAGCAAGTTCTTCACTCTGAGGGGATGTTCCAGGCTGCAACCACAAGGAAACAGGGAATGGGGATTTTCCTGCTCCAGGTGAGTTTGACATCCTCAGATGAGAAGAGAAGGAGGCACCAGAAGAAAGGAGCAGCCGAGTTTCACCCTTCCACAGGAAAGTGTGAGTGGGGAATCTCTCATCCTGTCTGCAGATGCTCCCACAGGGATTTGAGGGCTGATCCCAGAGTCCCAAGGGTCACAGTCAGTGCTGTCCTCAGGGAATGCTCACCTGGCATTGAGGGGCAGTGTGGGAGCACCTGGATCTTGGAGAACCCAGCTGCCCCCCATGTTTGGAGGTGCCTGAGGAGGGCTGAGACGATGCCAGGGGCATTGTGCAGTGACATCCCCCCTGTCCTGCTCTGGGTGAGCTCAGTCCCAAACCTGACCTTGATCCTGGTCTCAGTCTCACTCCACGTTTAAACACACTCACAGTTCTGTATTTAATCTCATCCTAGTGCCAGACTCATCTAGCCCCAGACCCAATCCCAACCCCAGACCTATAGCCAATCCCATGTCTAGCCTTAACCCCAATCACAGATCTAATCCAAACCTCAGCCCCAACTCAGGCCCCAATTCCAGCCCCTTTCTAAATCCTCAGCCCAAACCAAATCCCAGGTTTGGCCCTTCTGGGGGTTTGGGGTGTCTTTGTCCCTCTGACCCCGATGATGTTTGGGTGGGGTCACACCAGGGCTGAGAGGGAGAGAGAACCCCCCAGCCTCCCCAGGGATGAGAAGGTCGGAGAGCCCCCCCAGCCCCGAGCAGCCTCAGCGGTGAGAGGGACACAGAGCCCCTGGTCCCCAGCCCTGCACAGGTATTCCCTAAGGCCAAAGGGATGGAGACCGCCTGAGCATCGCCCAGGATGAGGGGACAGAGACCCCTGAGCATCCCCTGGGCTGAGAGGGACAGAGACTGCCCCGAGCACCCCCTTGGCATGGGGGTGAGAGGCAGGGACACCCCACCAAGGATTCCCTGGAGTGAGAATGATGGAGACCCCCTGGGGAATGGCCTGGGGTGGCAGGGACACCCTGTCATGTCCCTTACAAGCATCCCCCAGGGCGAGAGGCACAGAGACCCCTCGAGCATCCCCTGGGCACTGGACAAAATAAACTTGGCAGAACTGGGGTGACAGGGACAGGGACAACCCTCCCAAGCCTCTCCCAAGCATCCCTCAGGGCGAGAGGCACAGAGACCCCTTGATCATCCCCTGGGCCCTGGACAAAATAAACTTGGCAGAGATTTTATTGAACAATAAATGTGAGGTGTTGATGAATATTTCATTTTCCCACAAGTCACAGGTGATGAAATCACAAACAAATCCCAAATATGAATAAACCGACAATAGAAGCAATTCTGTGGGAATTCCAAGTTTCATCAGTTCCTGCACAGCTCCAGCTCAGCTGCTGGCAGGTTCTGATAAAAGAAAAGTAGACATTCGGCCCAATACATGTTATTAAAAAGAAGAGAAAGCTCTGTGTAGGTGTCACAAAGGTGAGAGGGATGAAGAGAATAATGATTCTCACATTTGGCAAAGCCCCCAATCCTATCAATTTGGGAGTTATTCGGGAATTTAGCTACTTGAGCTGGGCTTCTTGTAGGACTTCTAGCAGCCTGCTGTTCCTCACCGTGGGGTGAATGAACCTTGTCAGCCTCTCTGGTATCATTTGCTCCCTTTCCTCCAGTGATTTGAAGAAACTTTTCAAGGAAGGACAACAAAATATTTTCTTTACTCTGGCCAACCACAACAGCCATTTTCCTCATCAGTTCTCCCATAAATCGCTCAGAGGAAGCTGTGTCCAAGTTTCCAAGAGTTCCTCCAGAAAGAACCACAACCTCCTCCTCGGTGGGAACCCTGCTGTTGGCAAAGGCACTTGGGGTCACAGAACAGTGAGTAAACTCTCTGTGCCAAAATAATGTCACAATTTGGTTAAGGAAACTATTCTAGAGATGCCTCTGCCCCAGTTAAGGTGCTAAGGAGACCAAATCCAAAGTGGATTTTATTGAGCAGTAAATGTGAGGTAGAGAGAGAGATGGAAAGCAAGAGAAAAGAGGGGAGAGCAAGGGAGTGACAGGGACAGAGAGCTCCCCTGGGGCAGGGCAAGTGTGACATTGTCCCCTGTGTGCGTGGCCTTCCCAGGGTGGGGGTTTTACACCTGAGCCAGTTTGGGTAAGGGGGGTGGTGTTCACCCCCCAGCAGGGATTACCCCACTGTTTCAGGTTACAGTGTAAGATGTAACCAAAAGCATGTTTTCCATCCCCATCTCCATGAGCTGTTCTAAACAGGCGGGGCAGTGTTCTTTAGCTCTGCCATGACTCAGCCCTGATAACGCCCTGCAGGGGCTCTCTTCTGTTCATGGGCCATTGAGTGTCCCTGCAGGACTGATAAAATGACATCATCCCATTGTGGGATGCTCCAGCCAGGGGGAGGAGCCAAGCATTCCTACCTGGATATAAGCTGAGCCTTGCAGCACCAGGAGCACCTTGCCTACTGGATTGCCAGAGGACAAGAGCTCCATAAGCACCACTGGACCTTCAGAGGAAGACCAGACCCTTCTACAGGATCACTGCTTTGACAGAATCACGTTCATCACTGCAACAGGACTGCAGCCACCATTTAATGGGACTGCTACCAGCACCCTGAGCAACAGGGTGTCAGGTTATATCCCGCCTCTGTCAAGTTAAAGCAGAGTTTCTGTGTCATCGCCTTGATCTTAATTTTCTTGTTGAATCGTAATTCTGTCTTGGACTCTCTCCCTGGTTTGCCCTCCAACCAGTACAAAACTTAACGTGCTCATCCCTTGTTTTCTTCCCATAACAGGATTTCCCCTTTCCAAACCTTGACGCAATGGAGGAGAAGGCTGCTAGGATGAGGAAAGTGCCCCGTTACCACCAGGCAGGTGAGGAGGAAGTCAGTGGCCCTTTCCCCCTCTCTCCTGCTCCATCTCCCAGCCCAGCATGGCCCCCGGCTGCAGGACAACCCCACTGCAGCCAACACCCTCCTGCTGGGGACAGACCTGGGGAATCTCGTTCCCCTTCCCTGTATCACAGAGGCAAATCCCATCCCCTCCTTTTCTTTCCTCCCCCAGACAAGGAGCTGAAGATGGAGACCAGGGAGGACAAATCTTCACAGCAGAACCTCATGGAAGAGGCCATTTTGAGTGGCTTCATGGTGCAGGAATCCAATGGGGAGGAAAAAGCAGAGAGGTCCCACAGGACGAGGGGCTCCAAACCCAGGCCAGTGTGCACTGAGGAGGAAAGACCCACCCTGTTCCTGGAAGGTGGACAGAGCTTCAGCCAGAGGTCAGAGCTGGTGGTCTCTGAGCAGGTTCATGACAGGGAAAGGCGGTATGAATGCTTGGAGTGTGGGAAGAGATTCAGGCGGAGCTGCCACCTGATCTGCCATCAGATGATCCACACCGGGGAATGGGCCTATGAGTGTGGGGAGTGTGGGAAGGGCTTCAGCTGCAGCTCCCTCCTTGTCAGGCACCAACGCATCCACACTGGGGAGAGGCCCTACGTGTGTGGGAATTGTGGGATGAGCTTCAGCCAGAGCTCCAGCCTGATCTGCCACCAGAGGATCCACACTGGGGAACGACCCTACGAGTGTAGGGATTGTGGGAAGAGCTTCAGTACGAGCTCTTCCTTGATCCGCCACCAGAGGATCCACACTGGGGAAAAGCCATACACATGTGGGGAATGTCAGAAGAGCTTCAGTCGGAGATCCCAACTGATCATCCACCAGATGATCCACACTGGGGAGAGGCCCTACGAGTGTCCCCAGTGCCAGAAGAGGTTTCACACCAGCTCCACTCTCCTCCGCCATCAGCGGATTCACACGGATGAGAGGCCCTTCCGCTGCCCTGACTGCGGGAAGGGCTTCAAACAAAACTCCATCCTGGTCAGGCACCAGAGCATCCACACTGGGGAGAGGCCCTACGAGTGTCCCCAGTGTGGGAAGAGCTTCACCCAGAGGTCTCACTTGACCAGACACCAACAGAGGCTCTGCTAATGGAAACCCTGCACATGTCCCAACTGCAGGAAGAACTCCATGCACTGCTCCATCTTCATCCCCCACAGGAGGATCCATGCTGGGAAGAGCCCTGGTGATACATTTTGCCTATAATCCATGCTGGGAAGGCACCTGTGCTTTTTCATGCCTCTGACAATGACATGATGGGGGATTGATGAACATGAGGGTCTGGCTAGGGCCATGACATTACATTCAGTCCCCCTTCAGGTCATTGCCAGGGGCAGGAAGGGGATTCTCTCTCTCCCTGAGGAGAAGGGTGTACTTCCCAGGCAGGAGGAGATACGTGGTCAGCATGACCAAGTGAGTTGTGTTTTGGTTTTCCCTGTAAGTACTTTTTCTTTTCGGTTACCAGTATTGTTTCTCTTCCTGTTTGTTGTTTATCTTGTTGCTGTTCCTAATAAATTGTTTTTAACCCATCCCTGGATCTTTGCCTTTCGTGCTTTCCATGGGAGGTGGGAGGGCAGCGAGTGGCAGCGCGGTTTTAGCGGGAGCAGGAAATTGGGGAATCCCATTCCTAAACCCTGGCCCATGGAAACCGAGCATCCCAGCATATCCCAGCCCGGCAAACTAGATCTATTTTTATAAATATATATTATCTATTATGGCAATGATTAGACAATGTTGTCTTAGTCAGAAATATTTAATCTTAGGTATAACAGCTGTAATATTATGCTATGTTATATTACGCTATGTTACATTATGTTATGTTATGTTATATACTAGGAAGTAGTTTCAAAGCAACTGTATTAAAGCAAAAACAGTTATAAAGCAGAGATTGATGTCACTGCCTGTCTCAGTTTGGAAAGACAGGTGTCGGCTAAGGAAGGTGGGAGCCTCCCCTGAAATGTAAAATGTAAACCCCCTCCCTCTGAATTTTTACAAACCTCTGAATTTTTACAAATTTGAAGTTCAAAGGCTCTCCGGCAAAAATATGGGAGCAGGAATAACAGTTCTTTATTAGGGAAGGAAATAAAAAAGTAAAATAAACAATGCAGTAATACAAGACAATGATGACAGAGTCAGAACAGAACCTGAC